GACATTCTCCTCACGGAGGAGGAGGAGACGACAAGCGTGGCCGTGACGGAGAAATCTTTGAAACTGTTAGAGACTTTGTCGTCGAAGCGAGAAGGCAGATCGGAGATTTGCAAAGGCAGAAGATGCGTGGAAGGAGTTGTGAATAAGCTTTTGAAAGTATCGACGACGGCGACGGAGCACGCCGTGACTATACTGTGGTGTTTGTGTTACGTTTTCCGGGAAGATAAGACGGCGGAGGAAGCGGTGGAGAGAAGTAACGGCGTGACGAAGCTTTTGGTGGTGATACAGAGCAATTGTTCGGTGATGGTTAGACAAATGGCGAAAGATCTGATCAAAGTGATGAAGATTAACAATAATACATCTGCTTCTGCTTTAGCTGCTTACGAGACTAAGACCACTCATATCACGCCATTTTGAGTTTTTATTAAATATGTATCTTTGTTTTCAAAATGAAACAGAGATATATATTGTAAATCATAAGAGAAATTTTGTTACTGTGATATATTATCTTGTGGGATTATATGATTTTAGTTGTTGAATTAAGGATGCATATAAACAGGATCAAGATCCATCTGGAAAAATCATATTTTATTTCTAACCATTCCAACTCTTCAACTCTGATCCTTTGATGGACACATTGAGCTCATTCAGGGTCCCGTTTCAAAACTTGTGATAAACCATAAAGCAGAGAGAGAGAGATCTCGAGATACCTCTTCCAAACATATACTAACATTTTCTTAACGCACCTTCAAGTATACCCCAATAACTATTCCAAATTATCAAGCACTCTACTCTGACCACGAAATATCCAGTTTGCAAATCAAGGCCCTGCACATTCCGAATGTGCCTATATAAAATAAGATTATTTCGTATCAACCCTTTGAGTTTAACAAAAATCAAAAGAAATCATATTTCCGACCTTTGGACCAATTGGTTTCCCAGTCTTTGCAACTGCATGTACATAGATTAAGATCTTTCAGTATGCACTTGATTTATTATAATATACGTACTGCACATTGTCAAGGTCCGTCCAATATCCCATAAGGACGATCAAACCTTAATCTCGGTCCAAGCTCTAGGTCATTTCTCTCACACTACATATTTTCTTTGGAAACAATATGACCCTAACTTAGCTAACTAGTAGATCTTAACGACTGA